TCGACCCATCGATGGGCCCCATGATAACTTGTTACCATCCATACCACAACCCACTCAAGCAAGCCCCGGGCATTTGAGTGGCTTGGGCCCACTTAAGCTTGTAGCGCGACGTGTTGCTTATTTTCTTGGCGTGGCATGTGTGCAAGTGCGTATGACGAAGTTTCGCGTGCCCTAATCGGGCTTCTCCTCGGTAAGGTATTGCATTGGGCCGATAATTTATTTGGGCCTAACCGTGGATTTTTTGGGCCTCAACATTAGCCCCCTTGATTATTGGGGCCATGAATGTGTATTGAAATGGTCCGAATAATCAATTTCCAGCCCAAAATAAATTGCAGTCGCATGGCATGGCATGGGTTTAGGAACAACTTAAGGATGACTAGTTAAGTGTCTCTGAAATTACAGCCAAGTTTTTTTTCCGGGAAGGTTGGAGGGGTCACGATGGTCCCGCTTAAAATCCAATCCTTCTTAAACACTGAGGGTGTTGCCTTTGAAGAACTTTCCTAGACACTGTAATTTTGGAGGTCACTCACTAGAATTACCAAGAGTTGACCTATTTTGTGGCATGACCTAGAAGAGAATGCTTGGTGGATTAGCTTAGCTTGCATGACTTGTTTGCTTGAGTGACTAGAGAGGCTTGATTTTGCATGATTGTGTGCTTGGATGCTTGGCATTGGCGTATACGCTTGATTTTAGCTTGTATGCTTGGATGCTTGGCATTGGCGTGTAGGCTTGATTTTGGCCTATATGCTTGGATGCTTGGCTTTGGCTAAGGTAGCATGGTTTAATATGGCTTTTGGGACATTTAGCATGGTGGATGTCATTTGACAGTAGCCAGACGTGCTAGTGGACGGTGGGGATCCAATCTTGGAGTTGCGGATGCAATGAGTTTGGATTCACCATTGTGTTTGGGTTTACGGCACCGGCCTCCGAACACCTTGAATTTTAGCGGACAAAACTTCAGTGAAGGTGATAGCGTGCGACATGATGGCTAGATATTGGAAGAATACTTGAAATATGGCATGTGCTGGAATGATGTTTGAAATAAGGCAGGTGCTGGAAGAACACGACTTGGCTTGGCCCTCACGTGGGCAAAATTGTGTTGCCCCTTCCTCTTGAATTTTTTATTTGCAAGTGGCTACTATTTTTCCCTTTCACTTGGCATGGCGTGCTTTATTTTCTGATTTTCCCTCACTCTTATTTCTTCTTCTTCTTCTTCTTCTCCAAGACCCAAACCCGTGGGTATTGTGCATCAGTACGTAAGTCATATTTCGGAAGCTCGGATCAGAAAACTTCCTTGATAAAAGTTGTTCATCTGCTCGAGTACTATAGCCTGTAAAATTTGCAGAATTTTTTGAATTTTTCTGATACCTCAAAAATGGTCTGTAACTTCTGCATTCATCCATGACTGGTGAGTTTCTGCAAATTCTGCTTCTGCATATGTCTTTAACTTATGATGCTTGGATGATTGCGCTTCCTTCACAAAATTTGCTCGAAATTATGTTTTTTATAACATATCCAAAATTGAGGATCATCCACCCATTCTAGTGCTCTCTGCCTCCATTTTTCTGAAGCATGTTCATGAGTTGATGTTGATGCCTTTGGTGCATGCTTGTGTTTCTATGCTTGAATGCTTGAGTTCCTCTGTATTTCCCAGCATTTGTGAACTATAAATCGAATTCTGAGGTTGAGCTTTTGATTTAAGATTCTAGCTTAGTGATAAACAAGAGTCATACAAGCTCACTTGGGTATGCATGCCAAGTGTTTGTCGAAATATCTCAAAGTAGTTTGCTGGCTGTTTTTTGAACTTTTGAAATGTTTCTTTTCGAATCTGAGTTGGAGCTTTTGAGACATAAAAATGGACTTCTCAATGGCTATTTTGGAATTGGTCTTGCGTCACTTGAAGAAAAAATGAATTTTTAGTGGGATTTCAAAGTAAGGGCTAAGCTGGCTGGAACTGTGCAGTTCCTGCGGCATGGGCTGTTTTAAGAATCTGTTTGACATGCTTCCCTAGCTCGAAATGTAACGAAATTTTGGGAAAATGAAGCTTGATATGTCTAGTTCTAATCTGGAAAGTTTGGGACTTGTTGGTGGTAAGCTTGATTTCTAGTGATTTTTCAAAGGTGGGATGTTCTAGCTAGAATGGTTAGAAAGCTTATGTATAAGTTTTACTTGGCATGTTGCTTTTGTTTGAGAATTTGGCATGTCTTTTCTGTTGGCATTGAGTGCTAATCTGAGTATTGCTAGAGCATGTCCTTGAGCAATATTGTCGTGAGAGCATGATGTTGAAAGGTATTGTCGTAAGA